GAGAGAGAGAGAGAGAGAGAGAGTGTGTGTGTGTGTGTGTGGGGATGGGATGAGGAGACTGAGTCGGCCAATTAGAGGCTTCTGCCTTTAACTCTCTCGCTGCCAAACACTGAGCTGCTTAAAGCAGAGAGCAGAGATAAACAATTCAGCTTCTCCACATGGCAGCTTTTACCTAGAGTGATGAAGTGAGGATGTAGGAGCAATTAACCAAATGATTGTCAGGTTGATAAAGGAATTCTTAAGAGTTTTGTCTTTAAGTTGACCCACAACCAGCTGTGTTGATCTTATCCATGCGTGTTGCCATGTTTCTGGTAGCCTATAACCTTGGTCTCCTCGTGGCTCTAAGGACGGCAATGTTGGTCCACAACCTTTGATCTAGACTGAAATATCTCAACAGTTGATGGATTGCATTGAAATGTTGCACAGACATTCATGGTCTACAGAAGATGAATCCTTCCGACTTTGGTGTTCCCTTGACTTTTTGTCCCACGCCACCATGAGATTGTCATGTGGTTCAGTGGTAAATATCTTGATAACCGGATTGCCATGAAATTTGGTAAATCAACTGTAGAATATCTCATCACACAAGCAACATGACATGGGAGGGGGGCTGGTGGTGGCAGGAGTAAACTCTCTCTGCAGCCTGCAGTTCCGTTTCTTCTAAAAGACACGCAGACAATAAAAAACCTTGTTTGCGCACTATTTACACGTTGGATGAAATGAATGAAATGCAGAGGAGGAAAATGAAACGGAGCATCTGTCCCCACAGTAAATCATCTGCTGAGTGTTTGATGGTTATTTATTTGTGCTTTTAGAACGTAACCACTGTCAAACAATCATCAATTATAGATATTTCCTCAGCATCTCTGTGCTGTGTCTTCTCCCGCTCGCCCTCTTTTTCGGTCTTTTTTTTAATTGAGCCGGGAAGCCTAACTTTACTTTTTATGTTATCAAACAAAGACAAATGCTGTCCCCTTGTACTAAAATGGTCCTAAATCAATACTAGAGTACTTGTTTTATGACTAAAGTGGTACACAAGGTGAAGCAGTGGCACTCTGTGTGTTTTACCAATCAGTGAAAGTCATCCCTGCAAACCCCACCCCAAAGGTTCACCACCAGGGCTTTTTAAGGGGGGAAAATGTCCCCGCAAAAAGTCCCCAGAACTTAATTTGGAACCTGGTCCCTGCGGTGAGTTCCTCAAGAGGTTCCTCTTGCTTTAAGCTCTGCTTGGCTTGATTGTTTTCACACATTCCACAAGGCAACTTATAGACTAAAACACTCAACCAAATCAGAGCAGCTGTTACACTTTGACTGTGTTTTACATTGCTGCTGAAATCAAAGCAAGTGACAAACACCAGGGTCATCTGGGAGACAGAGTAAGTCAGAGGGCACTGGGACAGCACAGTCTGCTTCACTTACCATCATTATCTATGCAGCTACAGCACTCTCACACACACACACACACACACACACACACACACACACACACAGTAATTCCTCCTGTTGGTAGATGTGATGTAGATGCATTGAAATGGACATCAAGTCACTGTTAAGCCTATTACATTCCTTAGCTCCCTCATTACTCCACATGGCAAACACACAAACATGCAGATACACACATATGCAGGCTCACAACACCACAGCTGTCAATCTAATAACAACTACAACACAAGAAGAATGTGAAATTAAATAAAATCGGTCAGAATTAACGGACTGGTTTGCGGCACTTTGACTTAAAAAGCTTCTAAACCTGCAGTCTGATTTCAGGGTCACCTGGCAGGTTATTGCTTTTGGAAGAGTCTCTTCTTCCTCATATGACTGCATGAAAACATCCATAACTTTACCATTACCCAGTATCCATAACCCAGTACAGATGGGTAGCATGCACGTAATGAATTACGCGACATTCAGAAGCATTATCTCGTTATCAACGTGTTATGATACTAAGTATTCAGAATCACATAGAATAATAGATTGAAAATAAAATATTCATGAGTAATATATATGTCCTTGAGTCATTTCTATAGATAAGACTGTGGTCACATATCATTAATCTAAATATGGAAATTGTGAGTCAGTTGTTGATGCACTCATTTTTTACTAAATAATTCTAAAAGGCTAAATGATAATATCATCTAATATCATCATGATATAATCAGATGCATATCAGGGTGTCATGATCAGGGATCAAAGCACTGTGGGAATGAAAACTGAAAAAGAAGACCAACACGCTTCTGAAAGAGCTGTACCACAGCTGATCCAGGATCAGGACGACAACAATGTGTGAGTTGTGTTAACGCTCAGCCGCCGTGACAACATCATTCACCGCAGTCTGGACTGTTTCAGGAGAGACAATCAGCGATAGCAGAGCTGTGAGGCAAGCTAAAGCTTCTACGTAGCCTTTACTTTACAATCATTCACTGAACAGCGTTCATATCGTCTGTAATAATCATTTTCAGTCATGTGCACAGTATTTAATGTGTCTTTATTTAAACCTCCATTTTGGCTCTTTCTCAGTGAATGAGAAAGATCATGTGCTTTCCTTTGTAAATGCAGCAGAGCGGGTAGTAAGGAGAGCTAAAGTGTTGCCTTCAAGCACATTTGTATGCAGCGAAACTCCGACCACATATCCAGAGGTCTCTCTCTCTCTCTCTCTCTCTCTCTCTCTCTCTCTCTCTCTCAGGAAAGAAAGAGGCTTTTTGAATTGGGACTAAAACGGGAAGTGTTTGTGCAGCTGCGTTCTTATTCAGGGGTCGACTCCTTGAAAGTCCACATTTTTGGACTTCATACCAATACAAAACCTCCCTTTTCAAATGTTTCTCCACATGTAGCCCAGCATTCAAAGAGTCTTTGTGGAATTGTAACTAGGAAGAAATATCACATGTTGTATTTAACAGTTGTTTTGTGGTCATCAGTCACAGGTAAATACGTCATTTGATGAAAACCCCACTGCAGGGTGTACATAATGGAAGCTGGATATGAACCCAAATGTTTGTTTGGAATGAAATATAGCAGATAAAAGCTCCCTCAAAAATACAAACTCACACTCAAAAAAATGTCAGGGCAGAAAACGTCTATAGAGTTCATAGCTACGGCTGTGTGGCTAGTCTTCTCTGATTAGGAAGGTACCAACTGAGTGAAACGACCCGGACTAATCTCAGTGGCAGCCATGATAAGCACTGGACGAAACATCGAAATGTGAATGGAAGGTGCTTCAATGCTTCCTTTTTTATCTCCTTTATCATAGGGTGCCCTAGACCATCGTTTACCATCAATAACACTGATGAATTGTAGATGACAGATAAATTGATCTGTTTTGGACAGGAATTATTTTTTTAAAAATAGTACAGCATCAGCATCCTGCATATCTATACATCAATCATCGTATGATCCATCCATCAAGCATCTGTCCATACATCAATCAAGCATCCATCCATCCATCGATAATTCATCCTGCATGTGTATACATCAATCATCCAACATCCATCGTGCATCAATCCACCCATCCTTTAAATATTCATCAGTCTATCAATCCACCTGTTCATCTATCTGTCAATCCATCCATCCCTCCATATAGCCATCCATCCATCCCTCCATATATCCATCCATCCATCCCTCCATATATCCATCCATCCATCCCTTCTTAGAACAACAACAAAAGACAAAGAAAGAAAGAAAAGGAGGAACAAGAGAGAAAGAGGAAAAAAATATTGTGGGTTAATTTGAGTTTTCATATTGGGGTTGGGAAAATATGGTTGTGATGATCCTCCTGTATTTTCAGCACAGTCAAACCACACCAATGTCTGTCTGTCTGTCTGTCTCTGTAATCACACCACAGCCACTCTCCTGCCATCGTTTGTTTTTCCTTTTGTCTCTCATCTCTCTCGGCCTGTTCACCTTTTCACCTGCTGACGATCAATGCCTGCTAATGCAGCGGGCCTCTACTCGTCCTCTCATGTTTTATGACCTCAAATTATGCCTGGCCCCTTTAAGAGAAGCCCAGGCCCCTGTTGCTAAGAGACAAGGGGCTCGGTGACGATGAGGAGGCTGATTCTCGGCTCTCGTCCAATCAGAACAGCCCGAGTAGGGCAGTAACACACCAACAAGTCAAATACAATGACACAACACAGCTGAAAATGTTAAATCAAACAAAACGTGCTGCTGAGCTCCATCCAGGCATTTCAACAAATTTAAAAACCAATAGAATCAATAAACTTAGGAACTGAGGAAAGGACGTCTCATATCTCTTAATTAAAAAATATTTCCTTGTTTCCTCTCTCCTCGCATGGTTTCCTTGTGTTTCTCCATGCATCCCTGGTGGGAGGGACTAAGACGGAAGGAATGGACGCAAGTGAGGGAAACGGGGATGCAATGAAGAGATTTGGGATGTACCCCGAGTCTCTGGCTGCAAATTACGTCTGAAGAACAAGATGGCTGCTTCCGCTTCCGGGTTATTTTGTCCTCATTCTTGTGGAGACGCCTCATCCAGCACAGTCTATGATCACTCCCAGTAAATGGGGTGCTAGTGTCCATGGAAATGCATGAATATCAACAGCTGACTCTCAGCAAACAACAACATATGACAGGGGATGATGCTCTTAAAAAGGACCAGAGATACAAAGGGCTTCTCTTGTTTCCGTTTGTGTCGATGAGGCAGCTTCTTCTCTGCTTACCATGTATGGATGACATGACGTGAGCAGTATCCATGGGGGCAGTGTGTGTGTGTGTGTACACTGTATTGCATGTATTTTCAGCTCTGACACATGGGGTAGGTGAGAGAAACACTGTTGCCATGGAAATAGGTCTCCTTCTCCTCTTGTGAGTGTTTTGCTGGCCTCCCTCTCTGCCTCATCGCTCTCACTCTGCTCTCTCTTGTTGTACTGCTTCCTCTCTCTCTCTATCTAACTCGCCCACTCTCTCTGTATATCTCCCTCCCTCTTCCTATCTGGGTTAATGAGATCTGTTTTGCTGATGCGCATTGATGGAGTTCAACACTGTTAATAAATTGTTTTTAAGAGGTAGATAACATTAATCATCTCTATTAGAACAAAGGTTATTCATATTCCCAACTACATGGCTAATATACTGTACAGAAATATCTTTATAGGGGTATTCATAATAGATTAATAAACACAAACAAACCGCTCCTCCTCATATTTGAATATGATGTTAAATGTCTGAATTGACATGAAGCTCATACGTACGAATGAAGTTTCTACACCCTTTTTACATGCCTTCATATTCTGGGCAATACATTAAAGGTGATTTAATGGGAGCATTTCTATCGGCTCTCAACATGGCGACGGCTGAGCAGGTGCTAACAGTGCAAACTACAGGGCTAACGGTGTTTACCTGAGGGGGAACCGGTGGGTGAGCGCGTCGCTTACGAGAAGACGGGGTTATCAGCTGTAACCGCCGTATGAGCGCAGTGCAGAGCGGGCGGCCGTTAGCTTGCCAGTTGAGCATGCGCACATGCACCAACGTTCTCTGCTTCTGTTCACAACCAATCTGCCTGTTCAACCAAAGGAGCTAAACTCTGGAACTAAGAGTCCATTTGGCACATTCATGTTTGTGGTTTCACCACATCCGAGGAGCAGCAAGGAGTATTCAAATCAGACCGATCAAAAAGCAAGGGAAGCGAGGTTTGCGACAGTAACACAGTGCTTTTCTCCCTCTTTAATGTCTGTAACAGAAAATAAATAACTAGCAAATAAAGTTATGTTTAGTCTCAGGTAATCTTTCCTGCTACCTGGATTTCAATAGATACAATTTTAACACTACTAGAAATCCCTCCTGTACACAAGCTGTTGCATCATTGAGGTTTGTGTTCAGCCAGCCAGTGTCATTCTGCCCCAGTAGTTCCTTAGCTACAGGAAAGTACTGCTCCCACAGCAGACACTCTTTTCGGGTTACAAACAAAATGAAGAACTTGTTTACTCCTTTCGAGATGCGGGGTAAGTTCCTCGTGTTCAAAAAGGTCGTAAAGTTAAATTCCTGCTGTGAAAAAGTGGTTCTAGTCAACAATGTTGAGTTCCTTAGACTCTTGATTTGATAGTTACTGGGTAGGGAGATTAAAAAGAAATCCTTCTGCACTCATGTGGAAAGAGGTGTGTCGGAAGAGCCACCGTAGGGAACATTTTGAAGAAGAAAGAAATGACACTGAGGAACATACTTGTTGGATCGATATGTTGTCTGTTCATAAATGTGTTTGGGTTTGTGATCTTTGTGATTTCTCCTCATTATTTTCTCGGAAATATTTTAGCGGTCAAAAGAAGCTACGAGTTGGTGTCATGGAATGAAGTGTGGCAGTGATACACAGGAGACGAACAATACATTTGAATGCCCTTTAGTATTGTTGTAAGTGTACTATAACACCACAACAATCTTAAAATGCTAATGAGATTGGAACCCAGTTTGAACTCTAGCAGCTTTTATAAAATGTCTGCATTAGCTTGGACACACCCTCTGATCCCTCCCTATAAACCCCTTGACACACACAAACACACACACACACACACTCATCCACACACACATCCCTGCTGAGGCAGACACCACGCCTGTCTGGGGTGAGTGAAGCTCCTTCCATGTGACCGTCCATTATTGATGAGACAAGATGTATCCTGAAACCCCCCAGGGGTGATGAGCTCACTGATGAGGTCACCAGTCCGGGCTCTGCATGCAGTGCTCAGCGCCCCCCCCACCCCCCACATCCTCCCAGTCACCCGACGTCCTGCTGCATCGCCTCATCATACATTTATAAGCAGGCCGGTCTCCATCAAACACTTTGCACTTTTAAATAGGAAGGAAAAATAAAGCTGTCTCTAAGGTCTTTGATGAAGGATAAAATATGGCAGAAGCAGAAAGAACTTCAGTCCATCTCACGCAGCTGAGCGTAAATATGTTTTCATGTGTCCACCTGATGAATCTATGTCCAATATTCACTTCCCGACTCCAGAGAAAGATGTCTGCCTCTTTAGATCTTATCTTATCTTTAAATAAGTATGTAAGGTAAGTAACAAAAGCACAGTGAAACAAGTCAACGTTGACTTTTGGTTTCACACGGGACAAGAACACTGGTATCCTGGGTGAAAGTCCTGCATTTGTTTGTCTCATCCGTCGCCATCGATCTCTGCCCCAAACTGGCTTTGTCGCCGTTTATACTACACCGTCTGACTTCCTCCTTTGCTCCCATCAACACTACTACAGCCACTAGAGATCGGTGTCGTCTTCTTCTATTCGTATCGGCGATCAACCATGAATAGATGACAACGGCCTTCTGAACCTACTAGTGAGTGTAGCCGGCTACTTCTGACCCCTACCAGGCTGACACCGATTCAATAGGCTGATAACGTTCAAAGCGGGTGAACGAACACTGTTCTTACAGTTTCACAATCGCCTCCAGTAAAATACCAACTGCTGCCTTCAAAGTTGAGCGTGTTTAGCTCGTTGCAGTGCACCTTTAGGCATAGTGAGGGCATAAGGCTGAGATACTGTCTGATGTTTGAGGGGTGACAAAACTAACAGGGAGACAATCCACCATGAACAAATGACATTCTGAGACTGACAGAAGGGGGGGGGGGGGGACATATTGTTGAGATCAACCAGCAGAGCCTGCTCTTTCCCTACAAGACAATGTTACAAAAAACCCTGAACAGTTTGTTTCATGACCTGAGAGTGACGTCAATGACACATGTTGTTTGTTGTTGTTGCCGCTGTCAAGCAGCCATTTTGGATTCTGAACTATGTGAGGCCCCTGCAAGGTGATGCGTCATCAGTCCGAACACAGACACACACACACACACACACACCTCCAGCCGAGAGCCCTCACATTCAACAATCTGGGCTATAATTAGCTCTCTGGATAGAAGGACCAGAAAAAGCAGAGGGAAAGATGGATAAATGGCTTTTCAACCTAAAAATGTCCCCAGCACTCTGTGACGGCTATTTCCTCATCTGTCAGGTCACCGCCTCCCTAAAACAATCAACTACGAGTAACAGAAGAGAAAATCTCATATAATTGACACTGAAAAAAGACCCTGGACCCTCCTGTTGCCTTGGTTACTGTAGCAGAGCCGAATGGAGGAGGAGGGGTTGATGTGGGCTTCACTGGGAACAGAGCCGGAGAGAGCTGACAGAATAATACATTTACCTCCGCTTATTTTCTCCCTCTGTACCTCTCCACATCTCTCTCTCCTAGTAGCGCTCCAGTTTTCTTTAACGACCCACTCATTTCAATACAAATTGAGAACACCAGGGTGCTAGTGGGACCCCAAAACTTTCTTCACCGGAAAATAAAATAAAATAAAAAAATCTCCAATTCAATTTTCAGAGGACTTGAACAAAGAGTAAACAGCTCAGTGTGAATTATTCAGATAACCAGGATGCAACGTGGGCAGTCGTATGTGATCAGACTCAAGGTTTTTACAGAGCAGCTCTGTTGCCGTCTCAGGCCTCTCTGCCTCTGGGCTCTTCTGCTCTGCTGGCAGGAAGCTGAATGTAGCAGCTGTTCAGGACAAAATGCCTCATAGAATTTCATGAAATGAGCATGAGGATAAAGATGGTGTAAGCTTCATTATTTTGTTATTTGTATTTTTCTAAAAATCTGGGAAATTACTAATAGATGAAATGGAATTTTCTTTTAAATCAGCATTCTGTGAAAATTGTATTTCACAGCCCAATGGCACATTGTAAACCATATAAAGGAGTTGCCAAAGTGAATATTTGAAATAAACCCCCACAGATACACACCAGCTCATGAGTTACATAAAAATGCTTGGAAAGAGGAAGACTTCCTTCTGAAGATATATATCTTATTTAATGAATCGTGTGAGAACCACCTCTTTATGGAGGCCATTTACCTTTATATTGAGGCCATTGCAGTTGAGGCTCATCCCGCACTCGTCTGTGATCTCTGTAATCTCCGACAGGTCGTCATCTTCAAACTCATCCAGGCTGATGTCATGGGTCAACCTGGTTGAAGGGGAGGATTAGTGTGAGAAGGGGTAGAAGGGAAAGGGAGGGAGATGAGGAAAGAAAATCAATGTTAATCCCTCTGCACTTATCCGAAGCCACAGCAGTACGTCTCAAAATCTCCTTTTGACCGGATTATCTGTCTGACGGGTGGCAACTCGAACGTCTCCTCTTATTCTGGAAATACAATCACCAAACTTCTGGCCATTTAAAATTCTCCCTTCAAGTACAGGAAGGCAAATGACAAAACATAAAAGCCACTGGCAACACTTATTTTCACTTATTTAACTGCTGGTTGAGAATTAGCAGCCTGGATATAGCTACACACCTGCAGTGACGAGAAGACTGAATCACAGTGGGAGTGGGAAATGCTTAATCACAGATGGCAGCTCAATTTATGAGTTTACTGGAACAAAAATGATGACAGGCTTGAGAGAAGAACTAACCCCTCACTTAATGACAGAAACTAAACATTTCTGAGTTGCTCTTCAGGAGATACTGAGTTTAAAAGTATAGTGCAAATGTTTCTGTTGTTAAAAATAACAGTATAACTAAATTGCAAAAGTTATTTTATCCAAAAATCAACAAGACTAAAAAAAGTTGTGAGAAGCCTTGGTGGCCTTCGGAGGCCACAATGTTCATCATCAAATGTTAGCCATCCACTGAGGAGCATGACTATGTTCAGCAGTGTTCATAGCAATGCGTCTAGATTGTGGTGGAGTGTTGTTCGCCCCATAGTGCTGCCCCAGGGAGGGGCATAACAAGGTGGCTCTAAAAGTAAGCCCATAGCATCCAAAATCAGGGAGGTTCATCCTCTGGGGAGCATGAATGTGCTCAGTAGATCTCAGTGGATAAGTTGGCATGACAATGATGCTGGGCGATGGGCCATGGTGACCAAAACCCCCAAAACATTAGGATTCATCCCCTGGGGACCAGGAATATCCACTGTAATTGTAATGCCAATCAGGCCTGTTGATGATATATCTGACAAACTGATCGACCCCACTAGTAGAACAACTTTTAAGTCACTAACACAACTAATCATATAACTACAAGGTACCCAGTCACCACCAGCATATTGATACAGTGTGGCTGTTCTGGCTGCCATGCGCACATCCCATGGAGGCACAGTACTTCTTAATTTACTGATCTTACATCCAAATGTCTATACTACAGGTCCAAGAAGACAATGTTTATGTTTTGCAGGGAAGACTATGATTCACTGCTCTTGCAGCAACCCTGGAAATCAGTCCAGTGTCAGGCAGGGAAATGTTCCGTCCTGCTGTCTGTGGCAGGATTCAATTAGCTTCCAGAAAACAATGCTTCACTTTTCCCCATCTGTAATTATGTCCGCCTGTTATCTCTTTACCCTGCAGCCTCCTGGGCGTGACAGGCCGAGTCAAAGAGCGGGAAAATGTTATTAGAGGGAGGAAAGAGATGATGGCAGTTATCACACGGAGCATAAAAGCAAGCTGTCAGAGAAACCTGGTGAACGTGGAGAGCTATGATCCCCCTGTTGTTGCATGATGCTAATGCCATTTCTGGATACATCGACACTGCAGCTGTCTCCTCTTACAAAATGACGCACAGCTGCGGCCGTCTTTAGCCGTCGCGTGGTGGAATATGGGTATGGGAGTTAAATAGCCTGGGTTGAAGCATCTGTGTACTGCTATAATGAGGCCCTGGAGGAGGCAGGAGAGAAGGGCTGAGGAATGAGAAGGGAGAAAGAGAAAGAAAGTGGATCTATTGGTAAGGGATAAAGGATCTCAGATTTGGGTGGTTATCTATGGCTGCATTCCCAAGGACCTCTCGTGGTTGCAGTGACTCACACTTTCTCAAAAGAACTTTGTTGTGTGTTTGTTACTGCCATTGATTAACTGCTGACTCCTCACTCACTATTCTTAAGCGGCCCCCAGCCGGCAGGGGCCGCAATCGAAAACAGTTTGCACGGTTTTGTTGTGTGTTTTGCTATCAGCGAACAGCAATAAGAACTACAAACACAGCTGAGTGCCTCGCCCTTCAAAGCCGCTGCTTGGGGGATGACTTTTATTGTTCAGGACGGTGCATGAGTTCACACCAATTTCCAGAAATCGTAAACAATCTCTATTTCAAGGCTGCACCGAATAGTAACGCTGACATTTGAATCAAAATCAACATTTGGATGCTGCGTTTTTTTCTTATTTTTCTTTTGTCTGTTCATTCTGTTTAAACTGGATATTCTGCACAGTTGAAGAGAAAGATCAGGTCACACTAATATTATTAGTATACCCTGTATGCCCGTAGGTTTGAATGGTTGTCTGTCTCCGTGCCCTGCGATAGTCTGTTGACCTGTCCAGGATGTACGTACAGAACCTTCGCCCAATGTCAGCTGGGTTCGGCTCCAGCCCCCCCGTGACCCTTAACAGGATTAGCGGTTTGCATAATGGATGGATGGATGCATCATTCACAGACAATATAAGTTGGGTTGTTTATTCAAATCTCAAATTTTAGAGATTGGAAATATTATTTTTTGTTAATTCTAGTGAATTATTGTACTTGAGATTAGCACAAATGCCTCACGGTTGTCATTCAAGTAAACCAGTCTCGCTAATATGGCTGCAGCTGTTTCTGTCTTTACCCCCCAGACATAATCAGAATAACATGTGGCTTTATTGTGTCCCAAATAAATTGCATTGACAAGACTTTGGTCTGGGGATACTGCTCTGCTTCAGAATAACAAAAACTGTAACCTTATCAGTTCACTACAAATGTAATTTATTACAACACAGACAGATTTCTGGGGGAGGAACAACATCAATATGCGCCTGTGCGTCCTCGTTATCAGCATCACTTACAGGGAGGAGGAGACTAGAGGAGAGAAAGAAGAGTAAAGGGATGAAGAATAGGAAAGACTGTATGCCAATCGGAGCCCCATCGGCCATAAGTATGTAATTTATATTGACCCTGAATTGCAGGCATTGATCTATAATTAGGACTTTGCAAGGACAAAAGAGGGAGGGGAGTCTCAAGAGTGGTGAACGAGAAGCGAGAGGATGATGCGAGTGTGGATCAAACCCCGAGCAAAGTGCAAATGGAAGCAGCGGACAGTGAAAGGATGGAGAGAGTCATGGGGACAAAAGTGAATGGAGGGAGGGAGGGAGGGGAAAATGAAGTGCTGGGAGATAAACCACCTGGACAGGACAGGGTGACCCCTTTGCTGCAGTGAATTGTGGGTAAGCAGGGCGGCACACACCAAAGAAAACCAACAGCGTGTATAATACAGTGCAAATTCCGTTGTCACACATCAAGGCTCAGGCATGTCAGGATAGACACAGTTTCACAGACCTGTCAATTAAATCAACTGATTGATGCTTTGCAAAATCGTATGAGTGTTAGTGAGAATGTCTTCGGTCGAGGACAGCCCTAATCGTTAGTGTTATAGTAACACCTGTAACACCTGTGCTTTTCCTACTACTAGATTTGTTTTCCCAAACTGTGAAGACATTCTAAATGTCCTATGAGACTTTGCCACTGCAAGGGTGTCCTCCTAAAAACTCCCATGCTTACTTTCAAAATCACTTTTTGGGCATTTTGCATTTATTTCTGATATTAGACAGTGGAGATATAGAACTGCGAGAAAGGAAAGGGGGGCGGGGGGGGGGGAGAGAGAGAAAGA